CCCCTCTTTAATCATGTTCTTGTTCTCAAGACTTCTTTTCTGTGCCAAAATCAGTAAAGCTACACTTTGAAAGGATCTTGTCCTTTCACAACAGGCCATCTAAGGCAGCTAATTATGCATTGCATTGAGGTCTCTACTGAGAAAAGTTCTGTGACTTGAACTAAATATTTTTAAATGTGGATTTTTTTTGAAAACTAATATTTAATATTGCTTCTCCTGCATGGCAAAACTGCCTATTCTGCTATTTAAAACCTTCATGAATTTATTTTCTACTGCCGCTTTTTCATGTCCAGCCAAAATGAAATGTTTAAATTAACTGTGTTGTACAAATGGTACCCAACACAAACCTTTTTTAAATTAGTAAGACTTTTGTTTAAAGTTTTAAGTTTGCATTTTGACTTTTTTTTAAGGATGTATGTTGTGTGTTTAACCTTTATTAACTAATGTTAAAAACTGTGATGTGTGCGTAGAATATTACGTATGCATGTTCATGTTTAAGAATGGCTGTTGATAAAATAAAAATCAGCTTTCCTTTTTCTAAGTGTGGCTTGTTTACTGAGGTTTCTGGAAGTTTTCCCTGTATATATTTCTGTGGAATGAATATACACATTACATGGTTTTTCTTTCTCTTAGGGGATAGCTATGTCTTTTTCAGTTGTATTTTTCTTACTTTTGTCTATGTACATAAGTATAACTGCTTTTAAACTGTTGTATATAAGATGACCAGTGATTGTGCCATTAGCGACTTCTGTTTTGTTTTGATCTTGGGTAAGTGTAGTCGTAGAAGGAAAACCACGTTTTCTCAGTTCCAGGAGTGAAAGGTCAGCAACAAGAAGCACAGGGTGTTACAGAGGCAGGCCGAGCCGTTGACATTGGAGGACTGTGATAGGGTACTTCCCAGAGAAAGCCGAAGACTGATCTCACTAGTGATGGAAAGCTACTGTGGGCTTCTGTTTAGAATCCTGAGACGTGGGTCCGGAAATCTGTTGTGGTTGGGAGAAGGGTGCCTGCAGGTGATCTAATTCCGTCTGGTCTGGGTTTCATGACGAGTGATCTGAGGTGAGAGCCAGCTCAGGTGGTCAGCCATGGAAGAGGATGGGCCTTCTCTGTCAGAGCGCTCAGCACTTGGGGAGGATAAAGTTGCTGTGGACTTTGCTGGCTTCCTGCTCACTCCTGCCGCACTCCACACCCTGTTCTCCAGACCAGCCTAAATGGCTCCATTTGGTGTTGCTTCGTGACTCTGGTCTGGCCACAACCTGAATCTGGTTTCTTCCCTTTTCTCCCTCATGACTGTCTGACCAACACCAGCCTTCACCTTTTAGAGTCAGCTCGGATTACTTCCTCCTGAGCATCATCTGGATGATCCAGGAGTCCTTTAACAGTATTATCATGGTTTAATAGTGAGTGCGCTCTGCAACACGTCTGTCTGCAGCCTGTACATGAGGCCTCGTTTGGAAGAAGGGCATTTTCAGGTGAATGTGTGGGCCTGTGGGTGACATCATCCTGCATTAGGGTGGGTCCTAACTCCACTGACAAGTCCTAGTAAGAGAAAAGAAGGGGGAAACAGACACGGTGGAAATCATGGCAGGACAGAGGCAAAGGCGGACATTTCTCGAAATTCCCTGAACCTCAAAGCCTGCAAGAGGGTCATGGAACAGTTCCCATCAGAGCCTCCAGGAGGAACCGACCCTGTCGCTGTTGTTATTTCAGACTTCTGTGGTGGTGGAAAACTACGTTTCTACTCTAAGCCACCTAGTTTGTGGTGATTTGTTTGAGTCAGCCGAAGCACTAGCTACAGCTGTCTCACAGACAACCTGGTGCTTCACACTTCCGGATCTTTTCCGACACTCTGGAGAAATTACAGTGTTGATGCCGTGCGGCCTGGGAGTTTGAGAGAAGAGCCGTGCCTTTCCTCCAGTGTCCAAGGAAGGATCTTGCACAGCCCCTAGATATGGATAGCTGCCAAGTTAGCACTTGGATGGAGTGAACGAGTACAGGTAAATGAAATAGACTAGTAATACTGCTGTGGCCTTTTCAGGTAACATGGGTCACACTCTGCATGTTGAAGATGAAGTGGGCAAAAAAAAATCTAACTCTAGCCTATGGTTAGTAGCCTAGGCTCCACCTTCTGTACCTACAACAGCCTGTGGATTAAGAATGATTTTTAAAAGGTTGGGGAAATAAAGGATAACACATGTTTTTTAAGAGTTGAAAAAATATTTTGTAGCATGAGAATACTATATGAAATTCAAACTCCAGTGTTCATAAATAAAATTTTATTGAACATAGCCTCCTCATTTATATATATATATATATATGTACATTTATATTATTTATGGCTATTTGCTCATTGTAGCAGAAGAATTGTGACAGAGATCATATGGCCATTAGAGGCTAAAGTATGTACTGGCCCTGAATGGAATCTGCCAATCTGTGTAGAAGAGCAGGCTCATTTGGCAGCCTTGAACAGTGGAGGAGCCGTTTCTGTCGGGAATGGCCTCAACCTCAGGCTGACGTTTGCCATTCACAGGATGCAAGGAGCGTTGGCGGCGTGTACCGGGAAATTTTCCTCTGCTTTGGAAACTTCCTTCAGAGTGAAGGATTCTGGGACTGGGCATAGCAAAAAGACCAGACAAAGGGTCTGCTTGTCGACTGGGCAGAAGTTGGCCCTGCTCTGTTGGGGGTAACTCTTAACTCTGAAGCTGGCCTCCTTTTGCCCTTTGTGGGATCCTGAATTATGTTTATCTGCATGTCTCAGCCTGGTTTTGACCCATATTCTCTGGTTTAAAACAGTAGGGTAAGCTATCATGTCATCTCGTCTACCTAGTCAATGCCAGGGATGTTTGCAGGCAAGGGGTGCTCAGTGTTAGTATTTTGACCATCCCAGCTCTGCTCCTTGTATCCTGTCTAGTAATGTAGGTTTTCCATCCTAGAGAACCCTACTGGTTCTCACTGTTGGGTGGAGCTGCTAGACCTGTACAGTCTGGGTGAACCTGCCCTCGGTCTTACAATGGATAAAGGGGAAGACCTGTACAGTCTGAGTGAACCTGCCCTCGATCTTGTATTGGGTAAAAGGGAACAGTCTGCATGATAACAGTTTTTGGAATAGCAGGCAATTAGCCTGTACAGTTGGGACTAAAACAATTTTTTAAAATTTTTAATTGTGTGTGTGTGTCTTTGTACATGCGTGCACATGAGTGTGGTTGCCTGAGGAGCCCTAAAGAAGGCATTGGGTCCCCTAGACCTGGAGTTGCATGTTGCTACAAACTGCCCAGCATAGGTCCTGTATAAGGGCAGTCTGTGCTCTTAACTGGTAAGCTGTCTGCAGATCTCACTTGTTTTTTGTTTTTTTAATATAACATTTTGCAGTGCTTGAGGTGTGGAGCTCACGGTCTTTCACAAAGCTGAGTTAGTACTCTACCACTGAGCTATTTGCCCAATCCCTGCAGATGTTTTTAAATGGCAAGCTCCAGTGAGTGAGATGTTGCTCCAGGGAGTGTGTTGACAAACCGTCTTTAGTGAGTAGTACTTGTCATAGCCACAGCCTGTGTATTAGGATGACTAAGATAACAAGAAGAAGTTTCCTGGGTGTCTAGGGAGGGCATACTGGGCTGAGGAAGTCTCATGACTGATATAGCACATACTGGCATATATTGTTCATGATTATCTACACAAAATATCGGAACCTTTGAAGTACTGTTTTTGGAGAAGTGCTTATCCATGGTGTAGGAGAAAGGCCTGGGCTACCTGTTGCTGCCCATGCGTCCTCAGAACCACTTGAAGCCTCTGCAGTTGTCATCTCCTCGTCTGTTGAGTAGTATGGTGAGCATGTCATGAGGTGGTGCTGCTGTAGCGTTAGTGTCTCTGTTACATAGCCTTATGAGGCTCATACCTCACCAAGGTACAAGTTGTCACACCCGAAAGAGGAGTCACTATCTATAAAGCAGTGCTGAGTCCACTTGCTCTCCATTTGTTTAGCATTTTGGGGTATATGGGTCCTTTCTGTTTGATGCTCAACTCAGTATTTTTTTTTATTTATGTATGTGAGTGTCTTGGCTGCCTGTAAGTGTACCACGTGCCTATAATACTCCCACCAGCTGAGGGCATCAGATCCCCTGAAGTTGCAGGTACAGATGATCGTGAGCCACCATGTATGTGCTCAGAACTGCGCCCAGGTCCTCTAGGAGAGCAGCCAGTGCTCTTATCCTCAGAGCTATCTGCATAGTCCAATTGAGGCCTTTAGATACGATGTTCTAATCTGAGAGAACCCCAGCCTCCGGACCCGCTAGGGAAGCAGAGCTGTTTGATCTGTTTTCCTGACAGGTGCAGTCCCAGGGCCATTCATCTCCCAGAATGCTGTTTGTTCCTGTTGCCAGCTTCTGGTATACTGTTAGCCAACACGGTTAAGGCAGTGATGTGAGTCTTGCTCAATTCCTGCTTCCCTGGGTGGCCAGGCCCTCGATTTGCTAAGAACTGGTCCAGCACTGCTGCCTTCCCAGTGCTGGGACGTCAGTTCCCTGGGGTCTGTTACTATGCAAGATGCCAAGGGCGGGTTGCAACTTCCAGTGAGCAGGCATAGGGCTCGTAATAGAAGGTGCCTTGTGAGCCAAACAGGACGAAGAGAGGGCAGCCCTCAGAGGTGAAGGAGCAGGGAAGGCAGCCAGCAGCTGACAACAGAAGAGCAGGGGTCTGAAGCCACCCGTGCTCCAACAGGTGCAGTTGGCTGGAACCTGAGCAGTGTTAGCAGCCATTGCCCATTTGTGATGGTGTCAGTAGGGGGCGGGGAGGCCATAGGAAAGCTGCAGGAAATGCAAGGCAGGACAGCATAAGTCCTGTGTTACTTTGGAGGGTGAGTGTCTTCCCCCGTGTGGTTCATTCAACTATCACCATACAATAACAGCACTCTCTTTAAGATTTATTTTCTTCATTATGTATGCAGTACTCTCTCTGCATGTATGCCTACAGCCTGAAGAGGGCGTCAGATCTCATTACAGGTGGTTGTAAGCCACTGTGTGGTTGCTGGGATTTGAACTCAGGACCCCTGGAAGAACAGCGCTCTTAACCTCTGAGCCATTGCTCCCTCCCAACAACAGCACTCCTGTAAGCATGCCATGCACAACTTTGAAAGTTCTCACTGTCGTGTGCTCTAGGAACCAGCACAAATCTCCTTTACAAGGGCTCATTTCACCTGGGCACAGGGGACTGTGCTGTGTAAGATACACAGCTGGGAGTGGTGGCCGAGCTGGGGACAGAGCCAAACTGTTCTACAGCCAGCCTGAATTGCTCTCAGAAAGAACCCCGGGCCAGGGTGTGGCCCTGGTCTTCCTTGTTCTGAATGGGTGTTTGGATGCCCGAAACGAGTCCTGGTGGGAGCCTGCCATCAGCTGAGGCCACCAGAGGGTCAGAGACATCTTAGGATGCCCGGAGTCAGGCTGCATGAGACCCTAGGGACAGATCAATGCTCCCTCTTCAGGCACTGTCCTAGAAAGCCCAGGGCTTGGGTCAGCCAGGAGCTGCAGCCCTGAGAGGCTCCCATAGAGAGCAGAGAGCTGAGGCACCACTGTGGGGTCCCAGGTGAGCTGGCCGCTGGGCTGCTCCAGCGCCAGCCCACAGCTCTGCACCAGGTTTAGGAGGAGGACTACATCCTCACTCTTCAGAGCACAGAGGCCTCCTGTTGGGAGAGGACGGGTGGTTTCCTCCATCTGATTACAGTTGCGTTCCAGGATGCTCGCCACCTGCAACAAACCACTCAGAAGGAACAGAGGGACCGCCTAGGCCTTGGGCGCTGGCATCCACCCTCAAGCAGCAGCTAGGGGCCTCTGCTCTCTGCCCACAGCCAAGCTGCGCCCTTGGGGTTTATGCAGGTTTGCATTTGGTCCTGGAGATTGTGCAGCCCTGTTTCTACTCCGGTGCACACTCTGCTCAGCGACTGCTGACTACAGTGGAGCAGCCCTAGCAACCCCCCAGAATTGCTGTTCCTCCAGGCTGCCCACCTGTCCAGCAGCTTGTGGGCGTCAAGGGTTGTCTCCACCAGAAAGCGCCTGTAAGCTCATCCTAAGGCCACCCATCGTCAGTAGGAGGAGACCGTTGGGTGGGCCATCCCCTTTCCCTTCACATTTGTAGGCTTGGAAAGAACTTGAGTGGTAGGGATGTACAGAGCATTTCAGGATGCAGGTTAAAGTGGCATCCCCAGCCAGAGGGGCTGCTCAGAGCTGCAGGCGGCAAGGTCAGACCCAGAGCCTGCTGCTTCTGAGTAGGGGCTGCACACATAAGCTGCAGACAGGTTCTCGGGGAATGGAGGTCACGTCTTCCTACAGAGCATCTCCATCTGCTTCCCACATCTCTCTCTGCACCCCCTTCTTTGAGGCTCTCACCAGCTCCAGTTCCTGGGATAGGATTCGTCTCTCTATGGACTGGGCCAACAGGCGAAGCTGGGGCTCACTCAGTGCTGTGAGAAATAGAGACGCGGGGGTTAGGGAGGTTACCAAGTAGAAGAGGTCCTGGGTGCTCTGTATCATGTCCTTCTCTGTGGCTCTGATGGAGGCAGGGATGCATCCCGGGAGTCCTTAGGTGAGAAGCTGGGCTGGTTCTGCCACCACCAGAGCCATCTTTCCCCAAGAGACTCTGAAAGGGAAAAACTGTCCGCTCTGAAACAGTCCATCAAGGGCTGGCAGTGGCACGTGTCTAAGCTGTATCCGCCTTGAGCAATAGTGATTAACCAGGGTCTGGCAGGACTTGGCCAAGGCAACTCATTTTGTTAGTGCAGACCTAGGGCCAGACACTCAGTTCAGGAAGCTCGCACCCGAGCAGCCCAGGCTTTGGCATGTGGTCCTCACCCTTGCTCACCCTTTAGGATCTGCTTTCAATCCCTGGCCCTCTTACCCGCTAGGGCTCCAAGAATGTAGAGGATAGCCCCGCCTCTCGAGCATGACAGGTTGCCTGTGGAGTCTTGGAGGATGCTTAAGACTAAGCCTCCAGGACCCTCCAGCTGTGCCAGCAACCCAGTGTCCAGAGCCTGCTCCAGCTGCAGGGAAAGGGTGTGAGTAAGGGGTCCCTGTTTATGCATTCAGTGTCACTAAGGCATGCTAATCCATACATGGTCTGCCCGACATTCCCAGCAGTGTGTGTGAGAGCCCCAGGGACGCCCCGTCAGCCGCCATGCTCTCTGTTCCTGCCCTTTCCCTGTGTGTCTGCCTGAATGTGGGGCCTTTGCCAAGTCTGGCCAGTGGGCCCATCACCGTGTCCTCCAGCTCCTGGAGTGCCTGGCGGTCTTGCAGCAGCTCCCGGAGGGCACCCAGCAGTGTTAACCGCAGCTCTGAGGACAGTGTGGCCAGGTCCTGCAACTGGCCATCCGCTTGCTCCTGCAAGCTCTGGAGGTGAATCTCCCCTGAGTCCTGGCTGAAGTCTATGCCTGTAGAGATCAGGGGGCAGCTACTTAGTCTTGTGCCCAGTCGCGTGTTCAGGGTCCTTTGTGCTCCCAGCCTCCTCGGGAGATCCAGTGTCCCAGGAGTGGCCCTGTGCAGCTCCCTCACACGAAAGTACATATGTGTCCTATGTGTTCACCTCCCCCATCCCCCACACCTTCACCAGACATTTGCAGGACATGTCACCCACACCAGGCAGTCCCGGGTCTTAGCCAGCTTTCTCTTCCAGGGCTGCTGGGTCTCTCTGATTGGGAGAACCCTAGCTAGCTCAGACCCAGCCTCAGAGGCTCTGGCTCTGACCCTCTAGGCTGGAGAGACCAGTGTCATCCTCCATGTACAAGGGAGGGAACCTGAGTTGGAACCATTATCAGGTGGCACCACCCACGGTGACCTAGGACCACCGTGTAGCATTGGGAAGGGGCCACAGAACTACATATGGACAGTCACCTACCTCTTCTGGTGCCCCTGCAGAGCTTTCCTTCTGGGAAGTAGAGGACAGCTGCATGTGTCAGAACAGGGAAAATACAAACAAACCCAAAGAATCAGGGCATGGTCAGGGAGGCTGCATCCCTCGCGCTGGCCAGCAGGGGTCGGACTCCGCAGGGTTTCCAACATGGCATCCTAAAACCAGCCAAGCCCTGCTGGAGAGAGCTGGACTGCAGCATGGCAAGTGACAACGGTTGGGTCCTGAACCCATGCTTTTCCCTTCCGTGGGGACAAAGAAGCTGTCTCCAGTTGCCTTCTTCTCTCACTCCAAGGCCAAGCCTAGAGATCCAGGGGGCTGGAGCGAGTTTCCCAGAGCTGGTGCCATTGAGGCACTTTCCAGATGTGTCCCTGACTTAGGACATGGAAGGGGTCTCCCGGCTCAACTTCTGACTACAGATGTGCAGAGAGACTTTGTTCCAATTAGGTAACGAAGGTCCTCCCCCTGGTGGAATTCAGCCCCACCCCAGGGCAAGCAGGGGCAGACTGGGTTCAAACCTCCCCAACATCTGACCCTCAGCAGCTGGCTGCTCAGCCAGTGGGGAGCCCTGGGATTCCCTTCCCTCTTCAGCTCCGCTCCTCGCTGCTCTCTGATAATTAACTGGTGGTAGGCATGGGTGGGGCAGGGAGGGGGGATGAATAGGCTTACCCCAGCCATCTTCCTCCACCGCCAGCTGCAGAACCCTGTAGGCCAATATACTGCCCCGCGGGATGCTCAGCACTTTCTCTGTGTCCATGTGGCTCTGAACCTGGACCTGTGAGGGAGGCAGGGAGAGAAGGACACCAACCCTTAGGCCTCCAGAAGCTTCAGGAATGGGTTTTGGAGGCAGACAGGAAGACTATAAGAGTCTTGATGACAAGATTCCTGGAGGGCTGGAGACAGATAGGTAGTGAAGGTGGCCCAGACACACCCTTATGTGAGGCAAGAGCACAAAAACATGCTTGCATAGAAGACAATTCCAGCAATGCAGTACTATTCAGTGGAAAAAACAACGGAATCTTGAAATTTGCAGGCAAATGTATGGCACTAGAAGAAACCATCCTGAGTGAGGTAACCCAGTCACAAAAAGACAAATATGGTATGTACTCACTCATAAAAGGATTTTAGATATGAATCATGGGAGTGCCAGCATACAATCCCACTGCCAGAGAGTCTAGGAAACAGAACCTTCATCCAGTGACTGATGAAAGCAAAGGCAGATACCCACAGACAAACACTGAACTGAACTCCTGGAATCCAGTGTCAGAAAGAGAGAACTGATGGGCAAAGGAGTTAAGAATGGGCTGGTTTAACCCACAGAAACAGTTGACCTGAACAAGCTCTTCAACTCCAGATTGTTGGCTGTGTGGAAAGCATGGACTGACCCAGACTCCCTGAATGTGGGTGGGTGTGAGTGAGGAGGCCTAGGTAATCCATGGGGCCTTGGGTAGTATTTAACCCTGGCGTACAAATAGACTTTGAGTGCCCATGCCACAATATGGGAGGCTCTCTCAGCCTGGACTCTTGTGGGAGGGCCTAGGCCCTGCCCTGGATGAAATGACAGACTCTGGAGATCCACCATGGAGAGCCTCACCATTCCTGGGGATCAGAGTGGAGATTGGGTGGGGGACTGGGGGGCCTGGTGGGGAGGGCGGGGGAGGAGGGGAGGGAGAGGGAGCTGGGATTGACATGTGAAACAAGCTTGTTTCTAACTTAAATTAAAAAAAAAAAAGAGTAAAAAAAAAAAGACAAATCCAGAAAATAACCCAAGACATGCTGGACTTAAAACAAGGCACCTGGCTTGGTAAAGTGTTAAGAAGTCGCACAACAAAGACACCAGTGTGTCCCATTAAATGTGTTACACTCTCTTTGGGGACACCCACTTGGGAAATGCTGAAGTGCAGGGATTGGAGCATTGTCCACACGGCCACCAAGTCCCTTCCTCCCATTTTCCGCATGGAAACCAAGACTTAGAGAGGTAAAGGCATGAGCGGAAGGCGTTGGCCCTGAAAGCTGGGCTTCCGTGATGCTGTCTCATCGGCACACCTGTTTCTGCCTACTCCCACAGGAGAGAAATACTTACAAGCAATAGTAATAAAACTCGGATATCTTAAGCAGACATCATGGTTGTCCCGGTTATAGGCTACCCGCCTTGCAGCAAGATTTGGCCACATAGCCAAGTTTTGGCTGACGGGGCAAACACGGAGAGATTCGTGCAAGTTTGGGGAAGTTGCTCCCCCTCCCCCGTTCTGTTGTTTGGGCTGGATATGGTAACTGTAGAGACCACGGCCATGTTGGCACGTGAGCTGAAAGCTGTGTACTGGAATTGAAAAATAGGAAGGTCTGAAGTTTGGGGCTCTATGGCTCCTGTCTGGACTTTCATGCAAGGGGAAAATGCTGTTTTCTTCCTTTGAGTCAGTATTATTATTCTTAAATTTCCTCTCCCTTGCCAGTAGATTGTCACATCTGCTGGAGGAACAAGTGATTACAATGCCAGCCCTCTGAATTTGCAGGCTGCACTGCCATTCAATTGATTCAACTAAATGTGTGTTGTTCAGACTTGAACTTGGACCGTACCCCTTACTGGCAGTGTGGCCCCTAGCAAGTGACTTCTTTGTGCTCTGGATTCCTCCGATAAAGAAGTTGGCATAATAGACATACTTCCTGGAATCGTCAGGATGGATGGGTAAGGTCTGTTGGATGCTTACAGGCAGTAGTGCATCATGGGAGAGAGGCTCTCCCCGAAAGTGGTCCCTACCTGTAGGCATCTGCATTTGTGTCCGCCGAAAGGGTCAGCTACCTGTGCCTGCAGCTAATATGTAGGAGACAGTCCCAGAATGCTTGCGTGAAGCCAGCCTTCCTGTGTGACAGTGAGACAGTGAGAGAGACTGAAATAGATGACCTAAGAAGTTTGTAACCAGATGTGTAAATCGCCCTACTGTGAGGACACGTGCAGCAATGGTCTGGGAAAACTCAAACTGAACCAGTGAGTGTGTGCTATCTCAGACCCGTGATAACCTGGGGATGGGTCCGTGCTGCCACCAGCCACGTCTGTAACGCCCGGTACCTGGAAAGCAGAGGCCACTTGAGTCCAGATTGGGCAATGTACTAAGACCCGGATTCGAAACGGAAGGAAAGAGGGGGCAGTGAGGGAGGGGCGTGAGAAACCTCAACAACAACAAGAAGAAGAATAAAAACACACAGGCAGAGCTGAGACCACCTCAGCCTCCAAGGACAGCATCCCCCTCCAGGGTGAGGAAGCTTCCGGATGGATCACCTTCTTGAGGCTGGTGATACCCAGTATTCCAGACGCAATACCCACCCCGCGCCCACTCCAGCACACTGCACACCTGGACGTGGCCCAGCTGGAGGAGGGACAGCTGCCCAGCTGCTAGCATTTGGCCCTGGCTCTGAAGGATGGCATCTTGCAGCGTCTCCACAGCCTCGGTCACCACGTACAGGCTCTCCCTCTCCTTCCGGCTCTGTAGTTCCTGGAGGAAGGGGGGTCTCGGCGACCTCAGTTTCCTGGAAGGTGTGGGAAGCAGAGAAGATCAGAGCTTTGAGGGGTATCTGTCCAGCTGCTGCGGAGTCCAAGGCCTTGGGGAGAATGGAGGGTGAGAAAACTCGTTGTCTAAAGTGAGCCCTGGAACAGCCCTCTTCAAGGATACAGATATCCAAACAGACCAAAATTAGATTTAAAAATGGGGAGACAAGTGATGAATAAGACCCAGATTGCTAACCTCGGAAACCTGGCAGCAACTGAGTAGCCGCCAGACTCATGCTGGTGTTTCCGGTTTACCGTGGTTCCTACCACACTCCTAGAGTTCTGTGTCCCTTCCTGGCCTGGATACATCTGGCCTGAAAACCCCGAGCCTTCCACTTGGACACCCTAGCCCACACTGTCTCATGGCTTGTCAGGCTGTAGGTTAGCAGCCCCGTTGGCTTTTCCCTCACACCCGGAGGACCTGTGCCCATTCACGCCAGATGGCAGTCCAGCCGCCCACGAACGTTCCCTGGTTCTTACCTCTTCTCAAGCAGCATCTCCCAGGTGCCAGGGGAAATCCAGAGTGTCTGCACAGCCAAGGCAGAGATGCAGGCAGAGTTGCTGCTCCCAGCCACCTGGCCCTGCAGCCCAGCGCTCAGGCTCACAGCCCCGCTTAGCCCCCCTGCCACCTTCTCCCAGATGTTGATGGGACTGCTGCGGTTCACCTCTGCGGAGAAAGAAACCCAAGCTACAGGTGCCTGGCACGGGAAGGAGACAAGTTGCAGGGTGTCCTGGGGTGCAGATCTCAGAATGGCTGCTAGCACTCGTGTGTTGTGTGAGCCGTGGGGAAGCCACTGAGATCTCAGAGTCTCGATCTCCTCATCTATATGCAGGGATGGCAGAGCATCATGGACTTTCTAGGGGGCGGGGGTTGAGGATGAATTGTGGTTTGCCAGGGTGGTCTCTGGCACAGAAAGCCTGGACTCTATGGTAGCCTTTATACTATAATCCATTATAGCCTTCTTAGTGGATTGAACTTCATGTTGGGGCTGGAGAGATGGGCTCAGCAGCCAGAGTGCTAACCTCAGGGGGCTGGATTCAGTTCCCAGCACCCATGATGGCCGGCACACAACCACTTGTTGCTGCAGGGAGATTCTACACCTTCTTTTGGCCTTTGAAGGCACCTGCACTCACATCACACACACACACACACACACACACGCACACACACACACACACACAGAGAGAGAGAGAGAGAGAGAGAGAATAAATCTTAAAATGAAATATTGGTTCTAGAACTAGATTGCGTGCGTGTGTGTGTGTGTGTGTGTGTGTGTGTGTGTGTGTGTGTGTGGTGTACACATACATGCCATGGAAGGAGACAGAGGAAGAGATCTAAATGTGGAAGGGATGAATCAGAGTAAGGACATCACTATGAGATGAAAGCAAAAGGAAGCAGCGTCTGGCAGGAAGGAGACCAGCAGGAAGAGGAGGATGGTTGGGAAAAGGGACCCAAATACAAACAAATTAATATATGTGTGCGAAATGGCATGTTGGGTGCTCAGGGCACAAGCCTTGACGATCTGGGTTTGATCCTGGGACCCACGTGCAGTAGGAGAGAACTGATTCCTGCAAGGCACCCTCTGCCCTGCACATGGGCGCTGTGGCACCCATATGCCAACCGCACAACACAACACTCCCACAGAGTAAATGCATGTTTACAATAATCTGTTAAAAAGAAAATGCCGTAAGGAAACCCACTGTTTTGTAGAAAATTAATGAAAGCACATAATGATAGTTGTGACTTATTTCCGAGGGAGGAACACAGGAAGAAACGAGTCTTTCTTTCATACATATGGCCTCAGTGACATGACTATGAGGACCATGCTGCCAGTGTCACCCAGGGGTCTTTGGGCACCAGGATAGAAGCCTGTTCGCTTTTCTCAGAGTCCCCGTATGTTCCACGGCAGCCTCCTCATGGAATATACCTGGCTCAGGGCAGCCAGGCTCCAGCAGGTCCAGGAGGGAGAAGTCTGTGGGGATCAGGGGGGTGTCCCAAGGCCAGAGGTGACGCCTATGTTTCTTCCTCACCAAGCAGAAGGGGCGCAGGCGAGACGAACTGCTCAGGCTGTCCACGGGTACCAGCTCGCCCTTCCTGCCCAGCTCTCCCACCAGGCTCTTCGTGGTCCTCAAGAACAGGGATGACATGCTCCTTGAGAAGCAAGGGACATTGTCATCCAGGTTGCGGGAGGGCTCAGTGATTGCTGTCGGCTGGAAACAGGAGCGAAGGCTGGGAGCCCAGGCTGGCCCCTGAGTCTCGCCTGGTTTAGCGCTAAGTTTCCAACCCTGATCTCCGAGTGGAAGCCACAGCTGGCCACAAACACCCTTCAGGGCCACAGACTCGCTTCTCTGGGTTACAGGGCTGTTTCATTGGCAACACCACTGAATCCCGCTGTGCCTCGTAATGCGGTGGTTGAGTCACATTTAGAAAATGTTTGCTCCATGCTTGTCTGTGAGGACCAGTTAATTGCAAAGACCGTCAGCAACTGGCCTCGGCCCATACACTCTTTGCTACTTTCTTTCCCAGAGGCATGGGGGGAGGGGACCCAGGGGTGGGCTACAGGGGGAGGAGCTGGGTTGGGAAGGAGCAGGAGTCCTACTTGCCTTCACAGTGCTTGCACGGGTTCCAGTGCGGAAGGATCTAGGATGAGACTCCAGTTTCCTCTCTGAGCGCCAATGGCGTTTGGCGGTCCCTGCACTGGGTGTGGAAGCCAGCACCCCACTGCAGCAGGCTCCGGGAGTCACCGCCTTGTTGCATTTGTGCTGGGTGTCGACTTTAGGATGAGCCTAGGGCTGCAGGCGTGAGAAGAGAAAATGACTAGGGCATCCGGGAGCGGGAGAAGACAGGAGGTGCCAGGTCCGTGTCTCTTTGGGGCAGTGCCTGGGCACCCACAGGTGGGTTAGGGATTCTGAGAAATGTCTGAACTTGTTTTAAAATAGGAAGAAGGGAAATAAAGCCTTTTAAGCCTAAGTATGTCTCAATACTAAAAAAAGTAAGTATATATATGTGTTTTCTAATTATATAAGTATAAATTATATACATATATATATATTTTTTTTTTCGAGACAAGGTTTCTCTGAGTAGCCCTGGCAATCAAGGAACACACTTTGTAGACCAGTCTGGCCTTGAATTTGGAAATTAGCCTGCCTCTGACTCCCAAGTGCTAGGATTAAAGGTGTATGCCAGCCACCACCGCCCGGCAAGATATTGGTGTATTCTTTACCACAACGGTATTAAATGATAATTTTGAATGTTTCTGTGGCAGCAGTAAGGTGAAAATGTCTGGCTCCTCCGGCATCACCCTCCTGGGTCCCGGGAGAGAGAGAGGAGGAATAGGATCAGGACCCCTGATGCAGGCAATGGTCACACTCCGTGGGGCGGCAGGAGGGGAGGGGATGCCTAAGGGTCAGGGGTCAGCCCAAGTCAGGGTTCACAGGGAGGAGGCAGGCTAAGAGATGTCTAAGGCCATAGGGCCCAGGAGAGCGGGACCAGGAAGGACCCAAGGCGGTGGGACAGGGCCCGCAGTCCGTGCACCTCGGGGCAGTAGGGACAGCTGTTGGTTGGCTCTACCGGACTGACCTCCTACCGGATGCCAAGGACACTGCGCCTGCGCAAATGGGCTCTGGTCCTGGGCAGAGGGATTCCAGCTTTGCCTCTGCTGGACCCAAAAGCCCTTTTCTGCTAGCTGGAGGGCGAGGTAATGCTTCAACTTGCCTTCCTAACCACACACATCCTCCCCATAGATCTCTCCTCCCCAGGATGGCTGCACCCAGCTTCTCAATGCATGGCTTTTCCTCTGTCCTGATACACGTGGTGACTCATGGGTGCTGCGAAACTCTCCACTTCTCCCCGCTCCCCCATCCAACCACGAAGAGAACGGGGGCGTCAACACCGCCTGCTGAGCCATTCCCAGCCCATTCCTGCCTCTAAGCCTGCAAACGTCGGGAACCATGCATTGCTTCTTCTACCCTGAAGACCCCACCATGCTTCCGCCTGCGGTCTCCCCTCGATAGACTAGATCAATGCGAGTGCCGAACTCTCAGCCCTTCTTTCTTTCACTCTTTCCCTCCCTCCCTTCCTGTCTGTCTGTCTACTCTCTCTGTCTCTCTGTCTGTCTCTGTCTGTCTGTCTCTGTCTCTGTCTCTGTCTCTCTCTCTCTCTCTCTCTCTCTCAATACCTGTCTGTCTGACTGGCTTCCTTCCTTCCTTCCTTTCTTTTTTTCTTTCTTTCTTTCTTTCTTTCTTTCTTTCTTTCTTTCTTTCTTTCTTTCTTTCTTTCTTTCTCTCTCTCTCTCTCTCTCTCTCTCTCTCTCTCTCTCTCTCTCTCTCTCTCTCTCTCTTTCTTTCTCTCTTTCTTTCCTTTCTTTTTAAAAGACCCTCCAGCCACACCTGTTTCATTTACCGGTCTCACTCTGGGAGACACACCTGGAGACTGAGACTCAAAGTTCTCCTCCCCTTAACCCCATCCCTCAGACTTCCTCCACCCAGCTGCAAAGAGAGCAGCTTTCAAACACAGAGACCAAAAGATAAAAAATGACAAACTAGCTTGTAGCCTCACATTACAGGCAAACTGTTAGCAAATGCCTGCCCTGTCTTCAGGGATCTGGGTGTGTCCCAATTTTGCCTCGCTCTTGGTTAAATGTACTCATGCGATTTCAGTGTGTGGTTACTTGATGTAAGCAACTATTTGTTATCTGTGCTCATAAATTACCACAAGAGGCGAGAGCACACAGTAATTAATCAGCCTCGTTTCATATGATCAACCCATAAGAATTAAGAATTCTTCTGAAGGATTAAACCAGAAGGATTAAACCAGGACACAGGCATATTGGAATACAGTCTTGTGAACAAATTGGCTGTTTCCTGCTGTAGATTCTTTCTGTAGCTTATTGCTTTCTGCAACAAACTTGATTTATTTTCCACAGTTTAGCACTATCTGATCATTTACTGGAAACAATTTCTCCCATGCATTTGCAATTTTACTGATTACACTCCTTAGCTATGTGAGAAACCTGTTTTGCATTACCAGGTCCTAGTTTACTGACTAAATCCCTCCGCTTTGTGTGAGACCTGTTTCCCACTATGGGGAACTTGCTCCCCTTTCCATTGTAATTGTAGAGATCTGCCTTCCTGCAATTATCCTTAGTGACAGGCATTTTGTAAAGTGTTTAGGGCCCAGGCAAAAGCATCCCATCTAAGACATTCCCAGATATCCAAGGATATAGAATTGCTACATGTCCGAAACTGTTGATTCACGGCTGCCCAGATGGATAGAAAAAAAATAAGCTTGCCCTGGTTTTACCTCATTGGCCGATGAAGAAGAATAACCTAGACTAATCCCACACTTAAAGATTCACAAACTTCTTGCATTTACCTTCATTTCAGTTTATCAGACCAAGATCGTAGCTCAGATATTTACTGCGACCTCCTATTTTCTCCCAAGAATATAACAACGAAGGTAATCGGCCCATTTGCTCATTCTCAGGGAAAAGTAAACTCTCCAGAAGGCCTGCATCACCCCCAAGGCCAGTGCATTGGAAAGCACCAGGTTCTGTGTCTTGTAAAACTTAGATCTTTTCTTTGACTTACAGCCCTACGCAGCTGATCCAAAAAGCTTCTCTTAGCAAGAAACCATAGCAAACTTGCAGACAGCTTGCCTGCCTTCCTCTGTTTACTACGTTGTGTGGTTATCCTATACTCTCTGTGCATGCTGGGAAAACAGCCGTGCGCCGTGTAAAAGACAACCTTTGCCTTACTTGTGATGTCTACTGAATATAAACGTTTAGCTTTTTATCTAACTACTTAAATATGTAGTGTAGCACACTAGTCTCCCTTTCTAGAATTCTCTGATAATTTAATCTCTTAACTAACCTTCTCCCTTAAGGAGTTCACAGGACATTCATTAGACACTCCTGCCTTTAGACTGACAACCAGGACTTCCACTATGAGAAGATTCTTATATGTCTTATGGTGCAAAAGAACTCCAGTCCTGGACCCAGCTAGGGCTGGGAAATTACTGCTTGTAAAGATATATAAAATGGAAACATTTATTGTGGAATAGGAAAAACAATAAAGAGATATGAATATAAAGATCATGTTGTAGCCGGGCGGTGGTGACGCACTCGGGAGGCAGAGGCAGGCAGATCTCTGTAAGTTCGAGGCCAGGCTGGACCGACAGCCTTCAAAACAATACAGAGAAACCCTGTCTCGTAAAAACCAAAAAAAAAAAAAAAAAAAAAAAAAAGATCATGTTGTAAGTAGATTCTTTTTTCCCCTCAGATTTTCAGATTTTAGTTCCTTTGCTTATTGTGGCTCCTTTTTTTTTGAACCCTGAGTGGAAATTTTAGAGGCTGGTCCCCTACTGTTTTTGGTAATAAATGCTATTTGTGTCCATGTGACTATTTTTTTTCTGTCAAAAGTGGTTAGTCTACCAAGGCCCAATAATATTCCAGAGCTGCCCCACCTTCTTATACCTTATGCAAAACAATTACAATATTTTAATCTTCCTCTCATTATGGTGATTTGATAGAAAATGGTCTCCAAAAGGAGTGGCAGTCTTAGGAACTATTGTCTTGTTCAAGTAGGTGTGACCTTATTGGAGTAAGTGTGTCCAATTGGGGTGGGCTTTGAAGTCTCCTATGCTCAAGCTACACCCAGTGTCACAGTCCACTTCCTGTTGCCTTAGGGTCAAGTTGTAGATTTTTTAGTTTTTCTCCAGCGCCATGTCTGCCTGCATGCCGTCACATCCTGCTGTGAAGATAATGAACTCAACCTCTGAAACTGTTAAGCCAGCTCCTTTTATAAGAGTTGCTGTGGTCATGGATCTCTTCACAACAATAGAAGCCCCAACTAAGACACTCACATTGTAAAACTTTTATCCAAATTTTTAAAGTTTCCCATCTGGTGAAAATTACCTTTTTGCAAAAGCCTTGTTGTATTCTATGAACTTGGTGGCTTGGGGCCCCTGACCCCTTCTCCCTTCCATTTTTTAGGATTCTTTTTCAACTAACCAGTTCTAAAAGACTGTGAAGTCAGATCACAGGGAAGGGGGGAGAGGACACAGGCCCTACCCACATTAGAATGATAATCAAGTCCTGCCTGCCTTGCCTAATTACTTTCACTTTCTTCATGTGTTTCTTTGTGCCCCACCAAGATTATTATTTTCCAGTGTTCATAAATATGTATGTAAACTGTGTGTGTTTGAGGACCTGTGATCCACTGTTAAGATTATGAAGTGGTTATCATTATGTACCAGAACTCCTTGGAGAATTCTTTTCATTGGTACATTCTTTTTTTTTTTTCCAGTTTAAATTTAGATAAGAAACGAGGTTGCTTCACAAGTCAGTTCCAGGTCCCTCTCCCATTCCCTCCCCTCCTCCCGTGCCCTTCCCCCAACCCCCCCCTTATCCCCTCATTCCCCCAGGGAGGATGAGGCCCTCCATGGGGGTGTCCATAGTCTGTCATTTCATATAGGGCAGGGCCTAGACCCTTCCCCAAGAGTTCAGGGTGAGAGTGCACCTCACGTTGTTCTATGGGAGTCCAAAGTCCGTGTGTATACTTGAGATGGGTACTGATCTGCTGCCCAAGTCTCAATAGATTCCCTAGGCCTCCTCACTGACACCCAGATTCAGGGGGTCTTGATCAGTCCCATGCTGGATTCCCAGGCTGATGCCTGGGATTCAAGAGTTAACCTTTGTCTGGTCAGCTGTTTCTGGGGGTTAAACCAGCTCAGTCTTAATCCCTTTGATCATCAGTCCTCCCTCTCTGTTACTGGCTTTCTTGAGTTCAGCTCAGTACTTAACCAAGGGAGTCTGCCTCTTCTTCGATCAGCCACTAAATGAAGTTTCTGTTTCCCAGACTCTCTGGCCATAGGATTGTAGGCTGGCACTCCCCAGATCTATGTCTAAAATCCATATATGAGAGAATACATGCCATGTTTCTCTTTTTGTGACTGGGTTACCTCACTCAGGATGGTTTCTTCTAGTGTCATCCATTTGCCTGCGAATCTCATGATTCCATTATTTTTTTCTGCTGAATAGTACTCCATTGTGTAGATGTACCACATTTTCTCTATCCACTCTTCGGGTGAGGGACATCTAGGTTGCTTCCAAGTTCTGGCTATTACAAATAAAGCTGCTATGAACATAGTGGAACAGACATCTTTGTTGTATGAATGGGCATCTATTGGATATATGCCTAAGAGTGGAGTTGCTGGGTCTTGTGGTAGGTTTATTCCCATTTTTCTGAGGAATCTCCATACTGATTTCCAAAGTGGCTGAACCAGTTGGCACTCCCACCAGCAATGGAGGAGTGTCCCCCTTTCACCACATCCTCTCCAGCATAAATTGTCATTGGTGTTTTTGATTTTAGCCATTCTGACAGGAGTGAGATGGTATCTGAGAGTTGTTTTGATTTGCATTTCCCGGATGGCTAAGGATGTTGAGCACTTTCTCAAGTGTCTCTCAGCCATTTTAGACTCCTCTATTGAAAACTCTCTATTTAGTTCTGCAGCCCACTTTTTAATAGGGTCCTTTGGTGTTTTGGAGACTTGCTTCTTGAGTTCTTTGTAAATTTTGGAGATCAACCCTCTGTCAGATGTGGGATTAGTGAATATTTTTTCCCATTCTGTGGGCTGCCTTTTTGTCTTGCTGACTGTGTCCTTTGCCTTACAGAAGCTTCTCAGTTTCAGTAGGTCCCATTTATTAATTGTTGATCTCACTGTCTGTGCTACTGGTGTTATGTTCAGGAAGCTGTCTCCTGTATCATTGGTACATTCTTTTATACAATGTATCTACTGGGACCTAAAGGGGTTTCCCTAGCTATGTGACTCCAATTCTGGCCAGCTGCCAAAATGATCGAGCACTGAAACAGAGAAACCTGGAGGTCTCTGGCCCATCTGAAAAGCACACATCCCACCGGGTGCTGGACAAGTCACAGAAAATAAAATGGTGGTATCAGTATGCTTGGCCAAGGAAGTGGAGATGCTGACTCATTGGGGCACGTAAAAATAAATAAATGTTAAAAAAATCTTTTAAGCCAGGTGGTGGTGGTGCACACCTTTAATCCCAGCACTCGGGAGGCAGAGGCAGGAGGATCTCTGTGAGTTTGAGACCAGCCTGGTCTATAAGAGCTAGTTCTAGGACAGCCTCTAAAGCCACAGAGAAACGCTGTCTCGAAAAACAAAAACAAAAAAAATCTTTAAAAAATAAATAAATCTTAGCCAGGTGGTGGTAGTACACACCTTTAATTCCAGCACATACATCAGAAGATGGGGGAATAGTTCCAACCTCATTTCCTGACAATCTTGAATCAGACTTGTTCAGCTGGTTTTTTTCATGAAGGAGGCAGCCCACTGTTTCCTAAGAATCCTCCCTTCTCTGAGCCAACCCTCCCTTCTGAGTTTTATAAATTGTGCTTGAATCAGAAAGTCCAAGAACTGAGAGGAGCTGAATTCAGTTGCACTTTCTCTAGAGGAGGAAAATCAGCTTCAGCCTGGTAAGTGCTGATGGGTCTAGGGAGTAAGGAAGGAGAGAAGGCTGCATAGTCAGAGATGGTCATTCAGGCTGGTTGTAAAATGAGTTGACTGGTTTGTTCCTACGCAATGTGATCTGCAGGAAGGAAGCTTTCCTTGCTCAAATTCTCCATAAGAAAATAAGTGGGGCGCTCACAAGCAGGTGTAAGGGCAGGGGCTGGGTCTCTGATACATCTTTGTTCAGGTTTGGTGTTGCAGACAAAATTGAAAATGGTCACATGAGGACTTTTGCACATTCAGCCACAATTCTGTCTTATTATAGTCATGTTGGAAACACAGTTACTTGTCATTGAAAGCCTTGATAATAATCCACAGTGAGATGCCGCATTTTCCTTACCCCGTTGGACAGTTAGATTCTTTCTATATTTTGATCTTTGTGAGTAGCACTGCAATGGACATGGGTATGCTATTTCATTTTTTTTGTTTTTGTTTTTTTTTTTTTCAAGACTGGATTTCCCTATATAGCCCTGGCTGTCCCAGAACTTGCTCTGTAGATCATGCTGTCCTCGAACTCATAGGGATCTGCCTGACTCTGCCTCCTGAGTGTTGAGATTATGCCTGTTTTTCAATTCTATTAAGTTTTTGAGAAATCTTGTTTAGAGGAGACAAGAGTTTACATTCCCACAGTTTACAGGGTTCATTTTTTTAAAACATTAGCACTGGCAATTATTGCCTTTATATTTTTTGGCATCCTGACAGATATCTCATTGTGATTTTCATTAACACTTTAGTGATACATGGTAACTCTGTGTTCTCATTGTCTTATTGGTGATTTATATTTTTTTGGAAGTACTGGGTCTTGAACCCAGGTCTTTATTTGTGCCAGGGAAGGATTATACTTACCTAGGCAAGGGACTGATTGTAATTCATATTTAGAGAAATACCTATCCAAGTCATTAGCACACTTATATTTTTTGACATTTATTGTTATTTTAAATTAGCATGAAATAATGGGTCTCATTGTGGCATCCTCATACTACATATATGTCGTTCATGTTCACCCCATTACGTTTTCCAGCTCTCTTGAACTATCTCCACAACCCCTAACTCCCTGAAAATTGTCGCTTTCTGATATCATACTTTATACATATATTTCATGTGTATATATGTATATACTTATATATACATAAATATATGTGTGTGTCTATACATACACACTTATATACATATCATGTGGCATGTGTGTATGAGAGAGGCATGAAATATCTGTATTTGGCATGATGGCCTTGAGTTTCATTCAGTAAACAGTGCAATTTCACAGTTTATGCTGAATAAAACATAACCATGCATATACCACATTTTCTTTCTTTGTTCATCTTTTTAAAAATATTCATTTTTATGTGTATGGATGTTTTGCCTGCATATATGAACACTACATGTGTGCCTGGTGCCTGAGGAGGTTAGAAGAGAGCATGGGATGCCCTAGAACTGAGGTTACAGGTGGTTGTGAGCGCCATGTATGTGCTGGGAATTGAACCTGGGCCCTCTGGAAGAACAGAGTGTCACTAACCTATGAGCCATCCCTCCAGTCTCTGCCTCCATTCTTCTTCTTATGGGTATCTAGGCTGGGTCTGTATTTTACTATTTGGGATAGTTCAAGGATAACTTGGATGTGTCTATCTCTGTTGTGTGCTGATGTGAAGGCTTTCTCACACTTTGGGGGGCGGGCTATGAAAAACACCAGGAATCAGTGAGCATCAACTACACTCTTCCTCTTCTCAACTACACTGTGTGCTTCCTTCTGTCTGACACTAGCAACATGCCCTACTCATTCGACCGGATTTGCAAGGATGTGGTCAAAAAGCTTCAAGGAAAAGATCTATATTCTGTCAAAAGTCTATCAGAAGCGATGAAGTTCCATCAGTTTGAGATACTGCTGACTTCTTGGTCATGGCCATGGAACACTGAAGATATTCCAGTTGGATATTCCCTCCTGCAGATCTTGGAGCCAAAATTTCCAATCCCAGGTATTGTCAGTCAAGGGGCAAAGAATTGGAAACATCAGCATTTTCAGTGGAGCAGCTTCCTAGACCCATGAGCTGCTTAGACAAATAGATCATGAGCCATCCTACTTAAAGACAAAGGACACAGAAGGTCCTTTAAAAGGAATCCCCTCATTTTCTCAAACCTTCCTTGAATTTGGTCATAGAATATTTCCAAGAGCCTCTTTAAATGGAGATATGATAACCATGTTACAAAAAAGTAATTGAGGTTCCTAAAACAACTTGTTCGAAGTTACACAGTTCAAACTGGTAGAATTAGGATCCAGACTGAGGTCATTGTGTCTGCAAGTCCAAGACCTCTTTCTTTTTCAGGGTCCTTCCCTGGGGTTGGATTCTGTACTTGGAAAGATGATTCCTGGGGACTCCTAGACACTACACAAATGATGCATTTCTTTTTTAAGGATTAAGACAACACTTGCATTGGTTCTGGAATTTCCCCTATGTAGTAACTGATATTTCACTTATCAATTGATTATATTTATTATATACAATTAATTATTAGCTAGTTTCATGACTAAGGTTTAAGTGAGAAGGGGAACTGGCTTCATATTTCCTATTCTCCAGAGCAGCTGCCCCACAGTGAATTCTTAGCTAAACTCTGTCCCCTTTCCTCTTCAGAGACTGAAGTGTTACCCACCATGACCTTCACAAGCAATGGATCCATGGAAATGAAGGGTAGTGCTGGAGTCCACGCCATTGCAGAGGGAAGTGTGTCAGCAGGGCATGGTCATTCCTCTGGATACAGCATCGAGGTTCAGTGTACCAGCATCCCAGCTTCACAACTGGACATTCTTCAAAACAGGTGAAAGCATGGGTCAGCCAAGTTCTGGGATGTTTTCTTGGAGGTAAAGAGGCATTGGGAGAGTTTATGACAGCTCACATCATTCTCTTTATTTTCTACAAGTCATTGAAATTATGGCTTACAGTGTTGTAATAAAACTCATTAACACTTAATGACCCATTACGATTATATTATTGTGATGGAGACAGAATAACAACACAGACAGACGAAGGCTCTGATCTGATGGAAGCTTTTGTTCATTGTCTCAAGGATGGGCATGTAGGGAGGAAATAATCGTAGAAGCAAATGATTGGATATTGATGAAAATGTGAGGAAGACTGTAGTCATCATTTGAACACCCCAGGGCTTTGGGACTTAGTTGACTTCTACCACATTTCTTCTGAGGTATATTGTCGAAGTAGAAATGTGTGTTTTATGTGCCGCATTTTGGTGTGAATATGCATGTAAGTCAGTCCATCTTATATATGCACATGTATGCCAGTAACTACCACTCCATCTGGTAACCTTATTTCATATTTTCTCTTTATTACATTTATTTATATTCTCTGTCTGTCTGTCTGCGTGTGTGTGTGTGTGTGTGTGTGTGTGTGTGTGTGTGTGTGTGTGTGTATGCTCACCCTCATGCCATGGCTCAAATATAGAAGTCAGAGGACAGCTTGCAGGAGTCAGATCTCTCCCTCTGCTGTGTGTGTCCTGGAATCAAACTCAGTCAACACCACCTGTCTATGCTCATCCACCCTGCCAGCTCAGCAACTGCTATTGTGACAGCAAGAGCATTTCCTGTCTGCTGTCTCAGCAGACTCAAGCACATGTAGCATCATCAACTATAACCACATCGGGCTTTACCATGGTTCCTGGGGATCTGAGCTCCTGTCCTCATACTTACATGGCCAGCACTGTATAGACAGGGCCACACCCCAAACTGACGCTGAAGATTTCTGGTTTATGTTGTTGTTGTTTAGTTTGTTTTTCTTTCTCATGATTTGGTCTCTGTGTCCATGAAATTAGTCATTTGGATCTCCTCATCCTCATTTCCCTCCTTCAGGAAACTGGTGGAGAAGGAGCCACCATTTATGACGCATTGCAGGATTAAAAATAAGAACCTGTATGTTGTGACAGAGGCCTATGTAGTGACCAGGGATACAGAGCTGGGAGACAGCAGTACTGAGGACCTTTCAGGACAAGTGCTCATCCCCCAAATGACCAAGGTATGAGATGGGGATGGGATAAAACAGGACTTTGGTCTGTGCACCTTTGCTTCTGAAGGGCTTCTGGGTACCAGTTTCTAGGGCTCAGAGGGTGGGGTCCTTATTTTTCTCTGCCCCTATGTAATATATGTTAATCCATGATCTTAGATTTCTGTTTTTTCTTTAAACATAGTTTGTATTGATTCTTTGAGAATTTCACACCATGTACCTCAATCTCACTCATTTCCTAATTCTTTCGCATACACCCTTCATCCTTGTAACATCCCCCTAAATAGAAACTTAAAAAGAAATAAAAAAGAAAAATGAAAAACATAAGTAAGTATATTCATTAAACAAACAAATCTAAAATCAAAAGAAATAATAAAAATAAATAGAAACCACAAAAAGAATATTAATTGAACAAATAAAGAAAATCCAAAATGTACAAAAAGCAAGCAAATTAAACAAGACAACCACAAAAGATGCTTGTCTCCTCCATCATTTCAGTCTCTCCATGCCCTCTTCACTCATCTTAGTGACGTTGGGAGCCTCTGTGTCCCGCAGTATTCTCCTTTATCCAAACGGCTTCATTTGCAAATGTTCACTGTTACTGGTCAGGTTCAAGGCCTCTGGTTTCTGGTACCACCATCAATAGTGGACCCTCACTGAAGTTCCTCTCAGATATCTAGCTGTTTCCCAGAGCCATGGTGATCCTGTGATGATTGTACCACAGGACCAGTATCTTCATGCACTGCAGCATGTCATAGATGGGGTAGATATTCGGGTGGGTCAGCTGAAAGCCTGGGTGGCAGCTGATCTGGTCAGTTAGGCTGTTGGGATCATCCCCGTCATGTGATGGGCTAAGCCATGTGGTCAGTTTCCCCCAATAAAAAGAGGTAGCTATCCTATGAGGGGCCAGACCAACAAGGGGCAGGGTTAGTTCTCTGGTGTGGAAGCTGGCTCTCCCTGGGTCAGTTAAGGCTAGGGAAAGCTGGTTAGCTCAGTTGCTTAGACTGGATTCTGATGCTCTCATTTATAATGTTTATTACATAGGATTAGCAAATATTGAGAAGTTCCACAATAGACATAATTCTTTGGTACCATGTTTTGTTCTGAGTGTAGGGCAGATGCTGCAGACACAGAAATGTGAGGATCTTGTATTATTTGAACACTGATACCCCAGTTGCGCAACCACACTGTGTGACCCCAAGACTGAGTCTCAAGCCCCAATCAGTTCATCAAAACACTGACCGTTGGGGTGATGGAGAGTAGAAAAAGATGCCAAATTGACAAACACATGTCAATATGGAAGTGTGATCAAATGCATTACATTATATATAAAGTTCTCAAATATCAAACAGTATTTAAGAAAAGGTAAATTGTGCATAAAAAAGAAAAAGATCTTAAATCCCAGGGAATTCCCGACTAGGATTCTATCTGGTTCAAAATATGAACCAAATGAAAGTTAAAGGTGTCTTTAGGAATTAGTGTTTTCAGGCATGTAGTTCCCAGCTCCCCAGGAGATAACAAGCAACAGGACAGAAATGACAAAAGACATCCCATTGCCCGATAGAGACAAGACTGGGATGAGGAGATGCAGTCTCACCCACAGCTGACAGAGACTAAGCTCCTGCACAGAATCCCAGGTTTGAACATGGGTGTAGCTGTCAGCACTGAGTGTGGAGTATGAGAATGAGACCCTCAGTGCAGAAGGAGCCAGGAAATATTTGTAAAAATGAAGACATTGCAGCAGGGCTGGTGTATTGCTCAGGGACGGACACTAGCCTGGTATTCATGGTGCTCTGGGTTCAGTTGCCTGGTCTCTCCAGTCTCACCTCTAAAATCTCAGTGTAGGTAAATATTGTCCTAAAGGTGGAGAAGCAATAACTGAACACGGGGACCAGGAGGAAGGGGAGTGAGAGACTGCTGGTGTTTCCTCATGAGCTTTCTAGATTCATTTGACTTTTCAGTTACAGGCATTGTTGCTTTGATTAAAGGTAAACATAATTTTATGAGACAAAGGTGGTATGAATCCCTAGGAATGTTTTGTCTTCCCAGGCTCAAGTCCAGGGATGTTGGCAAAGGAAGACAAAGAATTCAGTATCTATCCCAAAGGGTGCAGTGGTGGCCTACAAGAAGAAGAAACTGGTCTTTGAGGATGACACTTGTGGTGAGCAGATGAGGGACCAAGTTGGGATGGTGTGTCCAAAGACCTGAACCTCCTCTTCTCTCCTGACTGTAGATCTGGAGGAGCAATTCTCACTGTCCCAGGCACATGTCTCTCCATCCTTAGACACCTCTAAGCATGGCCAAATTCCATTACTGCTATCTGTAGATGCAGAGATAGCCTCCTGTGAGGGAAGACACCCAACCTGCGTGTTCAAATGGAGCTGTCTAGATAGATGAAGCCCAGGCTCAACCCCAGCCATCTCTAGTCATCCATGTCTAGCCAGTCAAAGTCCTGTGGCTCTCAGAAGCTCAGCCGGGTGACACCAGGCCCATCAGGTGATCTTTAAACCCACATTAAATCTCCATAAAATAATGGAATCAGAACCCAAATGAAACTGTAGGCAGAATGTATGGACAACACAGCACAGGATTTTCTCCCCAGCTGTTACCTTGAAATGTCCCATCCCCCAACACAGACACACACACACACACACACACACACACACACACACACACACACACATACACACACACACACAGAAGCACATACACCCCTCAAATATTTACCTTGTAAATTCTGGTCAAGGGAAATTCCCAAGTCAGGCCCCTAGTTGGTGGCAAAGACAAGGAAGAATTTACAGTGTAGTATAACTACTGGATGATGGATTCTAGAGAAAGATTGTCCACACTTTCATTGGCATCCTTGACAGAGTCATAGGTTGGGGACTGGGTACAGTATAGTACAGTTAGTGATTGATGGCTTCTAGAGACAGATGGCCCACACTCTCTTGGCATCTTTGACAGAGTCATAGGGTGGGGAATAGGTTCAAGGTTGGCGATGCCTTTGTAATGCCTGGGGCGGGGGGATGTCTTTACCATTACAGATCATGCTAAGTGAAAAGAGTGTTCATTACAGATGGAAGAAAATGAACACTTTATCAAAAACATTGACAGCGTTGGGCAGTGGTGGCACACGCCTTTAATCCCAGAACTTGGGAGGCAGAGGCAGGTGGATCTTTGTGAGTTCGAGACCACCCTGGTCTACAAGAGCTAGTTCCAGGGCAGCCTCCAAAGCCACAGAGAAACCCTGTCTCTGAAAACCAAAACCAACCAACCAAACAAACAAAAACAACCAAACAACAAAAACTAACCAAGCCAAAAAAAAAAAAAACCAAAACAAAACAAAAACAAAACAAAAACATTGACAACAAACAAGCAAACAAAATCTCCCAGTCTGATTAGATCAGATGTTGTCCCCAGAGAAGCAAGGCCATGTGTAGAGGCCAAACCCAGGGGATTTCCCTGGAAGATAAACTGTAAAGGCTGAGGTGGCATGGAAGGGAATGTGATGTCCCATATAGAGGGTACTTAGCGGAGCCAAATAAATGGGGGCATGTGAGAGAGGAGGTGATGATGGGAGGGGTTTCTGGGGTGACGTCTTCTGAAGGTGCAGAGAGTTGTTTGGTTAAGCAAAGAGCTTGGTGAACCTGAGGACTGAAGACAGTTTGGGGACAGATGGTTTGCCATCACTTATTAAGTCCTTTCTGGTCTGTGATGAGGACTAAATTCCTGCTTGCCAGTGAGCACACTGTCCCAGCTGGGTCTCTCCCTGCTGTGCCTGATTGTGTAGACAAGCTGCCCTGTTCGCCCTCTAGTGCTCAGAAGGTGACTTGCAGACACACTCTGAAGTTTGCTTTTTGTTTAACTTTGTTAGTTCACATGTTACTCTGGATACACTGCAAAACAATGCAGGATTGCCAGATGAGTGGATAAGGAGGGGACAGCTGGTAACTGAAGGCTGACAAGGAGCCGATAGGACAGGGCAGGAGGAAGCTGGTCAGCCTTACCTCGTGGAGTGTTTATGTGTTCATTCCTGTTTTATGAGTAATGTTTAGTCTGCATTAAGTGTACTGTGTACATGCAATGCCCCAAGAAGGCCAGAAGATGGCGCTGCCATGTGGGTGTGGTCCTTTGCAAGAGCAGCAGTGTCTGTTAACTGTTGATCTGGCTTCCCTGCCCTCATGGGGAATGCTTGGATGTCAGAGGACTTGATGGTCACCTGGATGCCTATTGGAAATGCAGGTTTCAGGCTGGTGGGAGGGATTGGCCTGTAAAGGTGCGATCCCCAGGCCTGATGCCTTGAGCTCCACCTCCAGGTCCCACATGATGGAAGGAGATAACTGACTCCCTGTGTGGTCCTCTGGCCTCTGTATGTGCTGTTGGCACACACACACACACACACACACACACATACACGCGCGCACACACACACACACACACACACACACACACACACATGCACGTAATTCAATAACTGTGAAACCCTGGTTCACAGGTCACAGAGGCTAGTGTCTAGGTTGACATCTTCCCTGGGGTTTGGCCTGAGAGTCCTGAAATGGGGAGTGGAGATTACTCTAGCAGGTGTAACTTCATCTCTTCTAATCCAGTTTCTTTTTCATTCAGCCATTCTCCCTTTTGATAACTCCAAGGAGAAAACCTTCCCAGGTATGTTCCCTGGGTTCCCCAGTCTTTCTGTTGCCCCAGCTATGAGTGTTAGATCTGGAAGGATGGACAGACATTTGCTTTGTTGCACAGGATCTACCTGGGGATGGATTTATCATAGGGAATTTGTCGTGAAAGTGGAATTGCATCGTGAAAAGAGAGGGTGGATGGAGGAGTTGGGAAGGTCAGAGATGGGGGAGGGATGGAGAGAGTGAGTCTTGGTGAGTGAACCCTTCTCTTTCTCTCTGCAGTGTTAAAGTATAGAGGACTGGCAGGTGAGTGAATGCTTCTGTGTCTTGGAAGTCAAACTTGCTCCTTCATGGTGACAACCAAATAACAAAAACCCACCTGACTGCCCCTACCCAAGGTCTTACAGATCTGGTCTTCTGCACAAAGGGTCAGGGTGGAGGATTGAGAAATTTCTGGGTTATGCCAGAAGTAAGGTCAAATATTAATTCTTGGGTGGGTCAATGTATTTTCTCTTTCTAGGTTCTTTGTTAAATGACATCTCTCCAATTGGTGAGTGTGTGTGTGATGGGGTTGTTATGGAGATCTGGGCCATCTTACTGTGCCCCCCTATCCCTGGCTCTGGTTCCTGCGGGAGGGGAAAGGTCATGGAAGACTGGATGGGGCAGGAGGAGAAGCAGGAGAGAATCTCCAACGTGTGTGTCTTCTTTTCTAGGAAGGTTAGACGAACCCTTACCTAATGGTGAGTTTCTTTTTTTTTGTGGGTTTGTATGTGTGTGTGTGTGTGTGTGTGTGTGTGTATGTGTGTGAATGTGTTTTGTTTTTTTCTTAAGGGAACCTGGGCTATGAGCAGGAAACCCCAGGCTTGGAACTCATATGACAACTTTTTATGGAACTCAGAATACCAAGGTCTACTTTCCCATTTTTAGTTATTTGATCTCACACAAACACAACTTTGTGTACTAATAATGGTCACTGAGGATTTACCAGGAAGCAGGCAGCACTCCAGCGAGGGCAATGTGAAATAATCAGATGAGAGGGCCCATGCCTCTGAGCTTCCTCTATGGTCCCTCTCACACTCACAGATCACCCAGAGGACGTTTGGCAGAACCAGGGTATCCCAAAATGCAGTGCTGGGTTAATTCTCCATAGACAGTGGAGAGTGTTACTAATAAGACACCCCCTTATGTGCCAGGTGACAGACAAATACAAAGTCCTTGACCCCTCAAAATTCTTGGAAACTGATTTGGAAACAGTGAGTGGTGTCTTCTCTGGAATGTAATAATAACAGGACACTTCCTTCCTGACACCCAGAATGAACACTTTCCTCCCACCTGTGCTAAGCAGTTTTCAGGATGCCCATCTGCTCTCCCAGGACTGTGTCCCCTCCTTCCAGAGCTCTGAAGCTGCCTGCTGTCTAGTACTGTTAGCTTCAGGATAGTTGCCTCACCAGGGCCCAGGCAGACTATCCATGGAGGTGCCTGTAGCACTGGAAATGGTGCTGAAGGGAAAGGCTTACCATGTCGGGAATATTTAATTGCAGGATTGCTCTCACTTTCTGATTGGTGTTTCTGTCTGTGAGCAGATTTCCAGTATCTACAAAATGAGATTTCTGAGAAAACAGGGTTACTGGCCATGCTTTCAAAGGACGTTCAACATGCTGTGTTCTCTAGTCTCCTGCCCATGCTAGGAGACAGGGACACTCTGTATGACCTGATGATCATGGTGAGATTTCCATAGCTTTCTAGAGATGATCAAACCTGTAAAGGACAGTTTGGGTGATGGGGTGCCAAGATACATGAAGGAAGGGAAGCCCATGGTATCCAGGAGACTGAGAAAGATGTCAAAGTCTGTGATAAGGGCTCCTTGTTCAGTGATGAGGGCTGGGGAGTGTGTGCCCTGAATTCTGCTCAGGATCCCCCTGGGGAGGCAGAACCTTTAGTCTGTGCCTTACTTAAATCTTCTGGACAGAGGCACATGACACCGTAATGGTTTTGAGCCTGATTGGTAGGCTGAATCTGCTTGCAGGAGGGTTACAAGTTCAAGGCCTTCCTGGGTTACACAGCAAGGTTAGAGCTGCCAAGGGCAACAGCATGAGACCCAGTGACATAAAAGAGAAAAATGGAGGGAAAAGGGAGCCAGGCTGTGTCTTCATGGCAGAGGAGTGGTCCAGCATATATAAAGTCAACTGGACCCAGCAGTGTGGTGATGTTAACAGAACGCCTGTCTCCTCTAGCTGGAGTTGGATCAGTTGGGGCACATGGATGGCCCAGGTGGTGTGATCCTCTATGAGCTGCGAAAGGACTCACAGGATATCCTAAAGGACCTCATTCTTTATCTCCTTCAGGCCCTAATGGGTAAGATCTGGGGAAAGTGGGAGAGTCCCAGTGCTGGCTGTCAGAGGGCTGTTTTATTATTTTTTTTTCATTTTTTTATTTGCTTCACCATGATTTAAAATTGGATACCAATAACAACCAAAACAACAGAAAGGTAACAATCCCATGGAAACTAAACATCTTACTACTGAATAAAATAGATCAAGCAAGAAATTAAAAGCTTTTGGAATTGAATGAAAGTGAAAAAAACATGCCCAACTTATGGGACACAATGAAAGCAGTTCTTTAAAAAATTTTTTTAAATTAAAATTAGAAACAAGGTTGCTTCACATGTCAATCCCAGGTCCCTCTCCCTTTCCCTCCCCTCATCCCGTGTCCTCCCTCCATTTCCCCCAGTAACCCCTCATTTCTTCAGGGAAGGTGAGGCCCTCCATGCGGGTGTCCATAGTCTGTCATTTCATCCAGGGCAGGGCCTACACCCTCCCCCAAGAGTCCAGGCTGAGAGAGCATCTCTCCTTGTTGGATGGGAGTCCAAAGTCCATTTGTATACCTGGGATAAATACTGATCTACTGCCCAAGGCTCAATAGATTACCTAGGTCTCCTGACTGACACCCTCATTCAGGGGGTCTTGATCAGTCCCATGCTGGATTCCCAGCCATCATTCTGGGATTCAAGATCTAACCCTCGTCAGGTCAGCTGTTTCTGGGAGTTAAACCAGCACAGTCTTAATCCCTTTGCTCATCAGTTCTCCCTTTCTGTCACTGGGTTCCTTGAGTTCAGCTCAGTGTTCAGCTGTGGGAGTCTGCCTCTGCTTCCATCAGTCATTGAATGAAGGTTTTGTTTCCCAGACCTCAAGTCCAATGGGGAATATTGCTCTGTCCCAGAGTTCCCTCGTTGGCTTCCTAGTTCATGGTGAGAGACCAGTACTGAGTCTGTCATTTTGTTTCCTCACGTGTCTTTCCCCCAGTGCTGAGTGATATCCAACTCAGTCTGCTGGCCCAGTCTGTGGAGAAGAGGCTCCTCCTCCACCAACGAGAGCTGGTAAGAAACCTCCATGGGGTTGGCATCCAGGGAGGGGGAGATGAAAGCAGGAAGTGGAAGAACATTCTAGAAGAAAGTTTCCACAAGGAGAGGAGCCAGGAAACCTGTGGTTGCCGTCTGTGTCTGAGGAGCAGGCAGGTTGGACTTGAACCTGTCATGAGCATCTCTGTACTTATGATGGCCTCAGAAGCAAGGCCTGCTAGGTCTAAATAGGAAGGCATCTCTGTGGAAAATGAGGAGAAGAAAGTCAGTTACATCCTTCTTTGTTTATTGTTACCATTTGCAAATTGTCTTTTCTCTCCACACATGTTAATCTATAAATACAAAGGTGTGCTTAGCTGCATGCACACAGGCACCCACACGCGCACACACACACACACACACACACACACACACACACACACACACACACACACACACAGAGTAGTCTTTTGCAGCACAGACTTCATTATTACCGTGTTGTAGCTGAGAAACCAATTATGGTAGCTTCAGGTCTTGCTTATTTCATTGTCCTGTGTGGTTCTGGGCTTGTCTGACAGAATGTGTCTCACTCTAGTATCACAGTCTGGTCTGCCCAACCTGAGAGAGAGTCTTTCTTGTAGGTGAAGAGCATCCTGCAGCCGAACTTCAAGTATCCCTGGAACATCCCCTTCACTCTGCAGCCTCAGCTCCTCGCCCCACTCCAGGGGGAGGGCCTGGCCATTACTTACGGATTGCTGAGCGAGTGTGGGCTGCAGATGGAGCTGAAAAATCCCAGGCCAACTTGGGATCTGGAAGCCAAGATGCCCATGTCTGCGCTTTATGGGAGCCTGTCGTTCCTGCAGCAATTTGTAGAAGCCAAATCCTTCTCAGAGCCTGGCCCCAGCCCGGCCAGATGCATTTGAGATCTGGACACACAAGAGGGGAGATTACTGTGGATGTTCTAGGTGTGGGCAATAAGGATGCTAAAACTAAGGGTTCTTTTGAATGTGCTATTCATTCACAATTATATAAGTAATATGTTTTGATTATATTCACCTCCCCCAGTGTCCTTTTTTAATGCATCTCCTCCAAGCCTTTATCCACTAACTTCTCATTGAACTTTTTAATGCTCTACTGCACTTAATTAGGGTTGTTTGCAGGACCATGGGATTGTTAACCTGAGTAAGGAAAACTTCCCAGAGGCTACACTACTGAGCAATGTGACTCCTCCCCCCAGCACCATTAACTGCCTACAGTGTCTAGGGAGGAGTGGATCCTTATAGGCTCCTCCTCTATCCATGGTAGATCCTGGGCTCTCTTAGTGTTGTTCAGGTAGCCATTAGTACTGTGAGTTTATGGGTGCAATAACCATTCTATATTCTTGCCATGTCTAAAGTAAGTTTGCTTGTGTCTGTCACAGCTCCTCAAATAGCAGGTTAAGGTTTTAAACATATCCTTATATATAAAATAGAATAAACATTTCTTTTACTTAATTGTGTGCACTTTGATTTGTTTGTGTGAAAGGTGCTGGTGTCAGTAACTTGAACTGTGTCTGGAATACATTGGGGATATTTTCAGGTAGATAGTTAATACTATGATCACATATGAGTTTTTCCAGGCATCCTCACTCATTTTATCCTCCTCCCTCTTTCTGGATTCATCTCCTGTCCTCTATCTAATTATACACCCCCATTTTCTCCATTTCACCTATCAGGATCTATTGTTCCTGCTGTTTCCCTCTGTATTGTCTCCTCTGCCCTGCAGTCCATGATTACCTGATGCAGTCTCAGTTGGGGATGGCCAAGATGAGACTGGCCTGTGCCCATTTCATTGAGAAAGCCTCTTGACTGATGATTGACATGGAAGGGCCCAGCCCACTGTGGGAGGCACCATGTGTAAGCAGGAGGACTTGGACTGTACAGGAAATGTATGTGAGCGTGCGGGAGTGAGGAAGCCAGTCAGCAGCGTCTCTATGGCTCTTATATCCAAGTTCTTTCCCTGAGGGACGTCCTGACTTCCCTCAAAGGTAGACTGATCTGGGAGTGTCAGATGAAATCAGTCCTCTCTTCCTTAACTCGCTTGTGGTCATGGTGATTATCACAACAACAGAAAGGAACTAGTATACTTTGATTACCTCCAATACCTAGATGCCTGCAACAGTAGAGACCCCAAATCCTCCTTTTTAAAAAATTATATTTTAATTTCTGTGAGAATTTCATATGTGAGTCCTTTTTTTGCAACTTCCTCAACCCCTCTCCGTACTGGAAATTCTCTGGGTTCAGCACTCTGTAAAATTCACAAAGTTTTCTTAACTATTGTTATTCTTAACATGAATACATTTACATGTTGCTTCCATGTGTACAAACTTAGAGCTGACCACATGGGGTTGGATAACCTGTCAGGAGTTTGTCCCTGTGGAAGATTGATTCATCTCTCAGCTGCCATTAATTGCCATAGTTTTCCATGTATGGTTAGGGCCTTGTGAGAATTTCCCCATCCATTTTTCAAAGCTAACTTGTGTTGTCAGTGTGTAGGTCTTTGAGATTTCTTGAGTACAGATTCCCTATCATGTCTTGAAGGCACAATCTCACAGCAGCCTCCCTGATCCTCTGGCTCTTACAATCGTTCCATTCCTTCTTCTACAATGTTCCCTGAGCATTAGGTTGGGGGCTAATTTTATAGAGATATCAACTGTGGGTGGGGTGGCCAATTGTTCTCTTCATTTTGAAATGGTCCCTGTCTTAGTCACTATTCTATTGCTGTGGAAACACACCATGATCAAGGCATTTTTTATCAAAGAGAACATTGAAAGGGGCCTGGCTTACACTTTCAGAGGATTAGTCCATCATCATCATGGTGGGAAGCATGGCAGGCAAGCAGCTGGAGATACAGCTGAAATCGTGCATGAGAACTCTCTGGTGTTGGGCAAAGAGAGAGAGAGAGGAACACTGGGCCTGGTGTCGGCTTTCAGAACTTCAAAGCCCACCCCCAGCTTCCCACCTCTTCCAAAATGATACAGCTACCCAACATGGCCATAGTCCTAATCTTTCCAACAGTATCCACTGAGGACTGAGTGTGTAAACCTATGAACCCATGTGAGTGGTTCTCATTCAGAACCCCACACTCTGTGCTGGGAAAGAAGATTGTTTGAGAAGGGACAGGAACTACAGTCAATTGTGAGAGAACAGATAACTATTCAGAGTGTGGTTAGAAATGAAATTGGTTTAGGGAGTGGTGCAGCAGTAGGATTTCTTTAAGGTCCATAACTTCTTCAGCCATGGGTAGTTGGCTAGGTTTAGAGTACCATGCATGAATTTCCTACTATTGAGAAGGAGTTAAGTCCTTAGAAAATTGTTAGCTGTCCCAGAGATATGAAAGCCACTAATGCACCCTTGAGCATATCTTGTCATGACGATCATTGTTGGAGTTTGCAGGCTTCCAGCTGGGCTGGATTGGTCATTTCTATTCCTTGGGGGCTTGCACAGCACCTTCACGTACCATGAGAGAAGGTCCTTAGGAGATAGCTTCCAGGTCAGGTCCAACTCGGTTCCTCCAAGTTCTGTGTCTGAAGTGTGTGGTGTCTTCAACAACAGCATCTTCATGTTCTGAGAGGGCAGGTTGGAGGCCATTTAGGAAAGACCTCCCCTTCCTCATCATTTTTGCTTATTTTTTCTGACACAATGCCTGGACTTCCTTAGTCACTTTCCTTCTGCTGTATGACTGCTTACTGGCTTCTATTAATGAATAGTCCTGCTTTCTTAGGCCCTAATTTAAAAGGCATGACTTTCAACCTATTTAAACCATCTAACCTGTCTTGTATCCCAGATACTAAATTCTTTTATTGAGGATACCACCCAATGTACATGTTGACAGAATACTTCTCTAAAATTTGTGAAACCAGAAACTGCTCTAGGTTCCCCTGATGAGGGTGCTACACTGCCCCTCCAAGAAAGAGGCATGAAAAAAACCAAAAGAGCCCCCTTCTCCACCTGTCTGAATTGTAACAATTCTCACCAAATTCGCTGGAATCCCTCTTCCCAGATGGGCAATGATAGCTTCTTGGGTACAAAATTGGAGAGGGGTTGAGAATTGAGGAGTCTGTTCACATATATACAACCCCCCTGCCACTTCTGGTTTTCCATACTGGGTGAGGAAGGAACCTAGTCTCCCATTCCCCCTCAGTGCCTGAGCCTCCCAAGGGTTCTTCATCTATGCATTTATGTGCCATGAATCTTTGGAATGTTGACACCTCATGCCTTCTGTTCTATTTCCCCTTCTTTTGGTCTATTTCTATTTGTAGTGGTTCATTAACTTGATAGTGAGTTCTACAAGAGTGTGAAGTAAAGCCCCCTTCCTTCTTATGAGAGTGAGGTGGATTTCAGATACAGCTAAACAGAAGCAGGTATGAATGTCTCCAGGTCTTGTTAAACCCACAATATTGCATCTACGACTGGATGGCTGATTTCTTTCTTAGATTTATTTTAGAAGGTGGATTGTAAGGGGATAGTATTTATACAAACTTATCTTCAGAGTGTCCATAGTTTAGGTCCCCTAGATTCTTTAGTGTGTGGTGGCTCATGTGAGGGTTTCTGTGTACTGGATATAGTGTGTCGCTATGTAACCCTGGCTGGACTGGAACTCATCATGTGGACCCCAGTGACATTAAACTCATAGAGTTAATTCCTGCTGCCTCTAAGTGCTGGGAATAAAGTTGTGTGCCACTACTCCTAGCAAGTTCTTTAGTATGTTGAACAATGTCCTAATGAATATCTATACCAAGTAGTTGATAATTTTTGGGAATATTTTCTTAAGGCATGTTTGTATATGAGGAATTAAAAGCGCAAGGATATCAACTCTTTAGGTGATTGTGGTACGCACTACTTCTAACTTAGAAGTAATGCGATGGTTTATGTTTCTATCGATATCTGTGTGAGAGTCATTATCATTTCATCATGGTGGTGCTAAAAACTATTTCTAATAAAAATCCTTCCCTTAAATTATTTCCTTTGATTTTTAGTGAGCTTCAAGAATTTAAAATGTACACTTGATCTGATGTTTCTCTAGGGACTTCATATTTTGGTCCACAACTCATTTGTGACATTAAGTTCTGTACTTCATCTTATTCAAAGTAACCCTTTCCTCCCTGGAGTGGCGTTTTGTCAGGTTGTTGGGTCATATAGAATGTGTGAAGTCACTGACACAATCCGGACTCCTCCCGTCTTGCAGCCAGATGTCACACCCAGCGCAGGCACCAGAAGATGGGTGAATAGTTCCCACCTCATTTCCCAACAATCTTGAATCAGACTTGTTCAGCTGGTTTTCTTTGTGAAAGAGGGCGGCATACTGTCCTAAGAATCCTTCCTTCTCTGAGCCAATCCTCCCGTCTGAGTTTTAGAAGTTGTGCTTGAATCAGAAGGTCCAAGGACTGAGAGGAGCTGCATTCAGTTGCACTTTCTCTAGAGGAGGAAAACCGGCATCAACCTGGTAAGTGCTGATGGAATGAGGGGGTGAGGAAGGAGAGGAGGCTGCATGGTCAGAGATGGTCGTTCAGGCTGGCTGTAAAATGAGTTGACTGGTTTGTTCCTGTGCCATGTGACCTGCAGGGAAGGAAGCTTTCCTTCCTTAGGTTCTCCCTGAGAGAATAAGTGGGGCGCTCACAAGCAGGTGTAAGGGCAGGGGCTGGGTCTCTGATTCATCTTTGTTCAGGTTTGGTGTTGCAGACAAAATTAAAAATGGTCACATGAGGACTTTTGCACATTTAGCGACAATTCTGTCTTATTTTAGTCACGTCATTGGAAACACAGTTACTTGTCACAGGGTATCTTGTTCTTTGCGGTAAAGAAAGTGATGTAAGCAGATTACTCTTATTTAATCATTTTTTTTTACAAAGTGCTGTAACTCCTGTTGACATAGGCAAAGTCACACGTGTCTGCAGCCAAGGTTTTTATTTCCACCGCACATCATTGTCTCAAACATTTAATCTCTGGAACAGTGTCTACTGGGTGGTGTGATGGTTTGTATGATTGTCTGTTTTAATCTGTTCCTGGCTGTCAAAATCAAGTTGCTGAGGCATGAATTTATTTACTTTCTCCACTTGGAAATGGCACTCAGGGAAACAGTGCCACCTCCATTGTCTTGCCAAATCTAGAAATCCCAAAGTCCTCTGTCCTCTTCTGTCTTTCTCATGACTCACAAAGAACGCATCATTAATTTTTTTGATTCTGAAGCAATCTTGAGTCATCATCCTAGTGTCAGGTTTGAACGTCTCTTACTTGAAAATTGCTATGAATTAGCTTCAGAAGTAAGTCAGATTCTTTGCTTCTGGGAATGTTATACCAAGGAATTTTTCAATTTCACAAGTCTATTTAGGTTATTCTTTGCCTCAATTGTGTTCTCTTTCGCTCACTGGTAGTGCAGTTGGCCTTATGAAGGAGTAGATCCTGCAGTTTTGGAATTAAGTGACCATAACTGATCATATTCAGAACAGGGATTAGGGACATGGCACAATGGTATACCTCTTACTATGTTAGTGTGAGCGTCAGACTTCTAAACCTTAGAATCCACTTAAAACCCAGTGGGCAAGGTGCTCACCTGTAATCGCAGCAGGCAGGAGATATAGCTAGGGGATCTGTGCATGCTGGCTAAGCAGACTAGCTGAAATGGGGAGCTCTGGTGTCAGTAAAAGACTGTCTCAATATAGAAGATGGAGAGTGATTGACAGACACTCAGTGACAGCCACAGGCCTTCATATGCACATGTGTGTGCATATTCATGCAAATGTGCACCTCTACACATCCAAGCATGCGTTCATACATATATGCACACATATCACATGGATACATATACATATGTAAAAAGGATATTTAGGTGCTGGAGATGGAGTTCAACAGTTAAGAGTGTTTGATGTTCTTCCAAATGACTCCAGTTTAGTTTCTAGCATCAAAAGTGGGTGGCTTACAACCACCTGTAACTCATGTTCTAGCGGATCTGGCACCCTCCATTGGCCTCCATGGACACCCATATGGGGCACACACACACACACACACACACACACACACACACAGACATTAAATAAGAATGAAAAGTAAATATTTTAAAAAGAAAATATTCAGAAGCTTTGCATCTGAGTAGAACATGTCCAGACTCTCTTGTGTGTGCCGGTATTCTGGTATTCTGCAACAGCTATGTATGTAGTTTGTCCACTACCATGTTTTGAATGTGAAATGCTCCATGCCCCCAGGATATGCTCAGTGTTTAAGGTCTTCCTACTGTCATACTTTTGGGAGTCCTGAGAAACTCCAGTATGGAGGGCATACCCAGAGGAAATACGACAGTGGGGACTTGAACTTGAGACTACATGTCTCTTCTTTGTATGTTTCTTTGCTTCTTGCTTGTCAAGAAGTCATTCATTGTCTCTTCCATATTTTCCTGTCACTGTGATGTTCAGTCACAATGCAGGGGCTAAAACAACTGTAGACCGAGCCTATTGAAACCCTGTGTCGGAATAAATCTCTCCTACATTAAGTTGTTTGTATCAGACAGTCTACACAACATACTAATACAATGTCATATCAAGTATTCTATAAATTGGCTGGGAGCCTCCTGAGGCCTGGGACTGCCCATGGGTTAACCTGTCCCAGTGGAACAGGCTATCCAGAGGCTACCAGCATCCTATTCCTGCCTCCACTCATGGGAGGAGAAAAGCATGGGCCTGTTTCCAGCCTGCCTTCAGGTGCCCTGCTCAGAGACTCCTGAGTTCTGGGGACTGTACCCTGGGGAACACAGTCCCAGTGAAGCAGTCCATCCAGAGTCTGCCAACATCATGGTACTAGTCATGACTCCACCCATGGAAAGAAGAGACCCATCAGAGTATTGGACCTGCTTGCACCCACCAGAAGACAACCTTGGTCCCGTGTGCACCAGGAAAGGGAGAGATTCCACCAGTACCGACTGGAAGAAGGGATGGGAAGATGACAGTATAAGAATACAGTCAACAACAGAAAGATCAATATGACACCGCCGGAGTCTAGAGACTCCACACCAGCAAGACCTGAACATCCCAACACAGATGAAGCAGAAGAGAATGACCCTAAAAACAACTTTATGAAGTTGATAGAGACCCTCAAAGAGGTAAAGAGAAAATCCCTTAAAGATATGGGAGAAAAAACCAAATAATTCAAGAAATGGAGGAAAAAACAAAACAAAAATTGCAAGAAATAATTTAAGTAGTGCAAGGTTTGAAAGCTTAAATAGAGACAATAAAACACACACACACACACACACACACACACAGTCTGAGGCAATGCTGGAATTAGAAAAGTTGGGTAAATGATCAGGAACTATACATGCAAGCATAACTAACAGAATACAAGAGATGGAAGAGAGAATCGAGAATCTCAGATGTTGAAGATACACTAGGAGAAACAGATTCATCCACCAAAGGAAATCCTAAGTTCAACAAATCCCTAACACAAAATATCCAGGAAATAAGGAACACCATGAAAACACCAAACCTAGGAATAATAGGCATAGATGAAGGTTAAGAAACTCACCCCAAAGATTCAGAAAACATATACAACAAAATCATAGAAGAAAACTTTCCCAGCCTAAAGAAAGACATGCCAATGAAAGTCTAAGAAGCTTACAGAACACCAAATAGAGTGGAGCACAAAAAGTCCCCTCACCACATAATAATCAAAACCTCAAACATACAGAATAAAGAACGAATATTAAGAGCAGCTAAGGAAAAAGGCCAAGTAACATATAAAGGCATTTTACCAACAGCCACAAGAAAAAAAGGGGGAATAGTCACAACAGAGAATTAACAGCACAACTAAAAGCTTTAGAACACAAAGAAGCAAACACACCCTGGAGGAGTAGATGCCAGCAAATAATCAAATTGAGGGCTGAAATCAATAAAGTAGAAACTAGGAAAACAATACAAAGAATCAATGTAACAAAGAGTTGGTTCTTGGAGAAAATCAACAAGATAGACAAACGTTTATCCAAACTAACAAAAAGGCAGAGAGAATGAAAATTAACAAAATCAGAAATGAAAAGGGCTCATAACAACAGACACTGAGGAAATCCAGAGAATCATCAGGTCATACTTTGAAAACTTGTACACCATAAAATTTTAAAATGTAAAGAAAATGGACAATTTTCTGGATAGATATCACTTAAAAAATTAAATCAAGAACAGATAAATTGTTTAAATAGACCTATAACCCCAAATCAAAAAAAGCCTAGGGCCAGCTGGTTTCAGTGCAGAATTCTACCAGAAATTCAAAGAACACTTAACACCAACATTCCTCAAAGTGTTCCACACAACAGAAATAGAAGGGGAATTGCCAAACTCTTTTTTTCTTCCTTTTCAAAAATTTAAGCTAGAAACAAGCTTGTTTAACATGTCAATCACAGCTCCATCTCCCTCTCCACCTCCTCATCCCTCCCCACCGGACCCTTCCCCAGTCCCCCATCCAATCTGCACCCTGATCCCCAGGGACGTGAGGCCCTCCATGGTGGATCTCCAGAGACTGTCATGTCATCCAGGGCAGGGTCTAGGCCCTCCCCAAGAGTCCAGGCTGAGAGAGCCTCCCATATTGTGGCATGGGCACTCAAAGTCTATTTGTATGATTTGTATGCCAGGGATAAATACTACCCAAGACCCCATAGATTACCTAGGCCTCCTTACTGACACCCACATTCAGGGGGTCTGGGTCAGTCTCCATGCTTTCCACACAGCCATCAATCTGGGTTCAAGAGCTTCCCCTTGTTCAGGTCAACTGTTTCTGTGGGTTAAACCAGCCCACTCTTACCTCCTTTGCCCATCAGTTCTCTCTTTCTGTCACTGGATTCCAGGAGTTCAGTACAAGTGTTCGTCTGTGGGTATCTGCCTCTGCTTTCATCAGTCGCTGGGATGAAGGTTCTGTTTCCCAGACTCTCTGGCAATGGGATTCTATCCTGGCACTCCCCTGATTCATGTCTAAAATCCATAAACCAGTGAGGGCATACCATATTTCTCTTTTTGTGACTGGGTTACCTCACTCAGGATGGTTTCTTCTAGTGCCATCCATTTGCCTGAAAATTTCAAGATTCCACTGTTTTTTTCGTGCTGAATAGTACTCCATTGTGTAAATGTACCATATTTTCTCTATCCCCTCTTCAGTTGAGGGGCATCTAGGTTGCTTTCAGGTTCTGGATATTACAAATGATGCTGCTATGAACATAGTGGAGCAGACATCCTTGTTGTATGAATGTGCATCTCTTGGGTATATGCCTAAGAGTGGAATTGCTGGGTCTTGTGGTAGACTGATTCCCATTTTCCTGAGGAATCTCCATACTGATTTCCAGAGTGGTTATATGAGTTGGCACTCCCACCAGCAGTGGACGAGTGTTCCCCTTTGTCCACATTCTCTCCAGCACAAACTGTCATTGGAGTTTTTTATTTTAGCCATTCTGACAGGAGTAAGATGGCACTCAGA